ATATTTTACATCGAAGCACCATTTATAAATCTCCTTGCGTTATAGTGGGAAAAAACCTTCTTATTACTTATTTCTTTACATTAAATTTTTACAAAGAAAAAACGGAACCTTAAAAAAACCTAGATTTTTTAGGGTGTATTCCGTTGCTTACCTTGGTTATGGTTTTATGTTCCGTTTTTATTGGTTTCCTGAAAGTTTTCTTATTACGGAACATAGTTTCTGAAAAATTCGGTTATAACTGTCACCAAACTAACCAGCACGAGAAGGCTGGTTTTTCTGGTTTTGTTTGCCAATCAATGTCATTTATGTGACAGAAATTCAAGCAACCCATATAACACAACACAATCCTATAGATATCTTGAGGATATCCACCAAGGATATAGTAAATATCTTAGGGATATCCAAAAACTAGAGGAGGATATTTATGAGATATCCAAATGGGACAAAAAAGTCATCTTCAAGACATCCCTAGGCAAGCCTTTTACGATTATTTGGGATATTTATAGGATAATACAAGAATGATGTTGGGAGTATTATAGAATATTTTTAGGACATTATATGAGGACTGTTATTTGACAATACTTAGTTCATCCTTAGTTTATAGTAAAAACGTTCGCTATTTAGTTTTATTTAGCCACATTTTGACGTTATTCATTATGAATTTTGCGTCAAAATTTAGAAATTTATTTGTATGAGTTAAGAGCTTTCAATTTATACTGTACCATCGAAAAAAAAAACGGCAATTTCAAACAAACGGCAAACGGTTTTCAATTGGCTTGAAAATTACGATCGATGACATTCCCCATATAATTTTACATACAAAATAACAGCAATCTTCATTTCCAAGCCACCTCTGACGCCGTTTTTTTCGATCGTATGGTATTATACCAGATTATACTACCCTTTATGGAGTCTAGCAGTTTATGTCTAGCAGCAACAGTTTACATCAAAGTTAGCACACAGGATACAGGTATAATTTCTAACACCACACATTCCAGAAACTCACAATTTAAACACAAAAATAGTTTAATTTAAATTTTCACCTATAATTTTGTCACAAATTTTTCATTGTGAGACCCTGAGTCGTTCGTCGTTTTTCGACATTAGTTGAGGTTAGGATTGAATTTCCGACATTTTAGGTTAGGATTGAATTCGACAAGCGACCGAATTCACCTCGAATTTCAAACAAAGAAAAACAAAGAAACAAACAAAGAAAAAACAAAGAAACAAACTGTCGAGATGGATTGTGGGAAATTGTTTGCGCGGGCGTTTTAAATTCTCTGTATTACTGCGAGTGGCCAAGCTCATAAATATCCAGATTATCCAGAAGATACCAACAGGATATTTTGTTGCCTTATTGACGTAATATATCTATCTGTATGGTTTATTGCATTTTATGTAATATAAAAAGTAGTACATTATTTATTTTTCCTAAATATCTAGACGATATTGTTAGGATATTTTATTATCATGAGCATCTCAGCTGAATGTACATTAGATATACGATAGAGATATCCATAGGATATTCTATTCTGAGACATCTACAGGATTTCAGGATGTCTGGAGGATATCCTATATATGTCTTTATAAAATGATCTTATAATGGGACATTCCGACATTCTATGAATATCCTGCGGATATTGTGTGTTATATGGGAAATATTGGAAGTTCGATTGAAATTCTCATTTAATATCTAAAATTTGTAATAACATTTTGTATTTACATCCAAAAGCAATGGAGGTAGGCAGTAAAGGTAAATAAATTTCATTAACTAAATATAATTACTGTTTAGGACTATTTAAACTTATCATGCATCCATGATCACTTAAAGTCAGGAACATTTAAAGAAAACATGAAAAATAAGACAACAAGTAATCATTAATGTTTTGTAAGGTATAAAAATATAAATATTGATTAGATTTGTTTATTTATTATTGATCTGATATTGGACCTGCAAATCTTCACTTGAGCTGTCTAACGAGTTTAACAGTTTATTAATAAAGTGCTTTTCAATAGTAAACTCCATTGAAAAGAAGAAGCAAACGTAAAAGCAGAGAATAGGTACATTAAAAATGCATAAAACATATATTTTATAATAGAGGTATTGAAATTTAGAAAACGTCAACATTTGACGTTTCCAGTATTTTACCAAACCGTTCCGGTTTACCTGAACCGTTCTTTACCGTAGTTTACCGGTCTAGTTCGCCTTGTTTTTGCAACGGAATACAGCCTTAATTCACCCCGAGAAGAGGTGAAAAATATAAATAAAGTATTTTTTCCAAATTTCAGACAAACGGACTTTCCAATAAAAGCTATCCCCTAGCTTCTAGTCACCCTATCTCGGTTAATTTTGATTTGAGCAAAAAAAGTACAGAGACAATTTTTATGTAAAATTGAACGATCTACAACTTTTATTTGAACTTTTTTTTTCTAGTCCTTTTGTAACAAAAAATAAAGATATTGTGCTGGTTAATTTGGTGACAATAATGACCTTTTTCAGGAACCGCTTTTTGCGTAATACAAAAAATTTGAGGAGAAACATAAAAATGACACAGAAACCCATAATCAAAGTATGAAGCGAATTACAGCCTTAAAATTATGATAAAAATTATGTTCATACATTTATCTTTAAAGAAAATATATCTCTTGAAAAATATAAAATTTTTGTTAAAAAAAATACAGAGAATTAAAATTTTACAATAGGCAACATCAATAATTATTGTTCAAAAAGTTCAAAATATCCTTGGCAGTCACTGCGTATCATATACATAACACCTCATTTATATTAATTAGTCAATTGAATATTTCTTTCTTAATTCGTTAAAACACTTTTCAATTTTTTTGCGATGATTTAAAATTATTTAAAAGTTTTTTAGTGTTCTTTTCACATTTTTTTAAGCGAATAATCTTTTACAAAGGGTATATAGAAAAAAATGTTTTAGAATATTCTTGGATATTTTAAGAAGTTTTTATACGGCTTGACTCCATGATACTTCTATAAGTTCCATATATAGATATAGAAATTTAAGAAAAATAATATCAATAAACAATAAAAAAATAATTTAATTTAATGGGTTTAATTATTTTTTTTACTAATTAAATTTTAATAAGGCTTAAATTGCAATAACATGAAACATCGTGGAATCATTGCCGGTTATATACGTATAAAAGAATATACTAGGCCTTCCCATAAAAGCAATAAGGTCTCCCTAAATGTCTAACGTACCATCGCTGTGAATAACCCTATAGAATATTGAATTATCCTACTACAGACCTATATTTTAGAACAAGGAACGATGCAGACCTATATTTCAGAACAAGGATCGATACGTTTGATACGTTTGACATATCAGTCTCAAACGTATCAGTCCTTCCTTGAAAGAGCTAGCTGCGAGAGCGCTGAAGTCATGAGTACTAAATCCCGCTTAAGATGGGCTGGTCACGTATGCAGGATGCAAGAAAACCGCCTACCGAAATATCTTCCTTACGGTGAGATTGTAGACGGTAAGAGGAAACCGGGTGGACAAATCAAAAGGTACAAGGATATTTTCCATGAAAACTTAAAGAAAATAAACATGCAGAATCGGTTGAAGGAAGCAACGCAATGGAGAAGAATTGCAAACTCAGTTAACAACGACAACCAAAAAGTAAAGAGGCAACAAAGCAATGAGATTTTTGAATGTCCGGAGTGCGGAAGAGAGATAACATCACGTATCGGGGGCTTTTCGGTCACAGAAAAGTTCATGAAAGAAAACGCCTTGTTTAACCATCTTCTGATGCCTGTCAAATACTCGTCAATGAGTAATGGTAGTAAGCAAGTAATTTTAGAACCATAAAAATGGAGAAAAGTTTTAGGTAAAATAATATTTGCTATATGCTCTGAAGAAGAAAAAAATAGCTTTGTAAATATAAAACAACCCGAATATATAATATACCAAACAACTTGAATATATTTTTAGAAAAAAAGTATTTCGTTTTGAACACTAATTTTTTTTATTCAATTTGAACACCAAGGGATAGAATGCCCTGTAAGGTAGGTAATGAGAAAGCAAACGATCTAGCTAGAAAAGAAGCAAACACCCCCCCCCCCTAACTGGACCAGAACCGTTCTGAGAAACAAACTTAAAACAGAACTCAAGAACCTGGAAGACTCCTTCCGTAACATGGAACCGAGCATGGAACGGTATCCTTCAACGGTCGACATTCGAAAAAATTTCTCAGCACTTCAAGAAAAATCAAAGATATAATAATAGCTCCCGTATATGTATAGTGTTTAACGCCTTGGGAGTAGCAAGGTACAGCTTGCCATGCTAGAGCCGTTCTGTATACAAGGAAGGTAATGTGGCTAGGACTACGCTTCAACCGCCTATTATTACCTCAGGATTGTGAATCCCAAGTACCTACTCATTTAAGGCTGAGTCGACCTACATAGATACCCAAACTATTTGTATTTTATTAAAAATATTCGGCTGATGAACTGCCGACTGTAGGATTCGAACCCACAATCTTTAGAATGGTAGACGAGAGCTGTACCTCTACATCACCGGGCACCACAATCAAAGATTCCTCTTGATTTAAGTAAGAATAATATTCGGATTGCCACGGAGAGATTGCTCAGTGGATTGAAGGTAAGAAACAACTGCAAATGCAGATTCTGTGGGTAAAATGGGGAAACACCAGAACACCTCATCAGAGGCCGCCGAGATGACAACCATTCATCCCATCAACTTTGGTAAGACTTATATCGGAGATGGGGAACTAACTTTTGTAAAATCGTCTCAGATACTAGCTTTCGTCAAAGCCTTGACATTGTACGATGAGTTATAACTCGAGAAATGGGAACACAATAGATCTATAGGATCGCAATGATTAACTATATCTTTTAAATTTCGGAAAAAGAATTAGTAAAAATCACGCAGTATATTCTTTTATAAGTATAATAATATAAGTGTAATCACTCAAGCACACGCGACAACATCGTAACTGTGGCGCGCTCTGGCGGTCGTTCCCGTCACTAAAAACAACGAGTTTGGTTCGCGCTCGGGCCGTCACGCGATGAACTGCACCATGAGGGATGGGTGCGCGCGCAGCGCGTCCGGCAGCGCGTCCAGCCGTTAAATGATGCTCTCCCGGTTCCGTTCCAGGTCCTCCTGTTCCAGGGAACTGGTGGAGCGGGAACCGCAGATCTGCATTTCGATCTCGGCCAATCTGTAATTAAAATAAAATAATTATTAGTATTAGCAACAAATCGCAAACTGCGATTCGGTCGCAGCGATTTTAAAAATTTTCTTTTTAAAATTTTAAAAAGAAAATATGTAAAAGAGGGCAACGCTGTGCCGGTCACGCTTAATCACGTGACTAAAAATTTATTTGATATGAACTATAGGTATGTTGAAAAGAATACCACTTGCACTACCTATAGATTTTATAGATTATAGACTTAGGGGGCTTTCGAATAATGATATGAAGACTTAAAGTAAATAGTGTTCTAAGTGCCAAAAAATCGGTTAATAATAATTAATATAACCTGTGTTCTAACTCCCATTGCTGCTGACTGAGCTTGACGCTCATGGCGGCATTTTCCGATTCGACTGTTTGAAGTCGTTCTCTCAGCCTTTTAATTTCACTTTCTAAGGCCTCATGAGATGCTATTAGGGGCGTAGTTCTTCCTGATACCAGCTGGGTCATACTTTCACCACCATTGATCGTTGTACCTAAAGTATAAATATGAGGAGTAAAGAATTTAATTCTCTACAAATTTTTCCATGACATTTTTTTGTCGATAAATGCCAATGGGTATACATTACTTTTTAAGACATCGTAGAAATTATAGAAACATGAAGCATCGTTGTCACAGTTACTTTCCTAATAAATTTTAATTTAATTTAATTAGAAAACTAAATAATTTCTAAGGTATAATTTCTATAGAGGTACCCAAAAAAACATTAATAACAATAATAATATACAGGGTGAGTCTTAAATAAGTGCAAATATTTTCAGGGGTGGTTTTTTTCGACCCCAGGAACCAGGCAACCAATTTCGACCCCAGGAACACGGCTATGAGTTTTTTTCGCAAAAAAAGATGTTGAAAATCGTGCATCTTTTAAATTTTCCTGTATATTTTTCGAAAACTTTTTAGAACTGCCTGTTCACCACAAATTTTCCCACGGTATAGTTTCTTAATATCTGATATTACCATAGTTACTGCTTTACTTTATGGTTACTGCACTAAAAGAGATGCAAATACAGAAGAAATCTGGTGGCTCTCAAAATTTTTCCCAAAAAAAATATTTTTTTTAATTTTCAAACTTAAATAACTCGGTTATTTTGGACTCATTTGAAAAATGGTAAGAGAAGGTATGTGTCTTTTATCGAGATTTACCAGCCCTGAAAATATTTGCACTTATTTAAGACCCCCTGTATAAGCCGTATTTACTCACCCTGTATAAGCCAAAGATCTAAGGAAATCTGCAGAAATTTGGCATCATCGATTTTGTTGAAAACGATGTTTGATCGGGATAAAACGTAAATACTTTTGTCACCTTTAAGTTAGTCACCTTTGGGTAAGACGGCGATATTGTTATTTATTTTTCAAAGAGAAACTAGCAGTGTCAAAAGTTGCAACTTTATTTTTTTTTGTTGAAAATTCATTGGAGTTACCTGATCTAACGTGTTGTTGTCTACTTTGCCTGCTTTGTCGGCTCCTGTCGCTACTTGTTGATCCTCCGGGACTGTCAGGTGTAGGTGGAGGCCTGATCGTCTGCAAAGGAGGTGGAGGGGATGCTCCCAGAGACCTGGGATAAAGCGGTGTAAGGATTCCTAGAGGGATTGGAGGTACCCACATATCTTCTAAGGCTACCTTGCCTCTGGACTCTACCAAACCTGGAGTGGATTGACTTCTACCCATTGCAGCTAAAATATATAAAAATCTATTAAATAATCTATAAATTTTACATAACCAAATTGTCACTCTAAATCACTGTCTTTTTTAGACAGATGTCACTTGTCTTGTCATTATTCAATTCATTATTCGAATTCTCAGAATCCTGTAACAAAACTTTCACCTTAAAATAAAATTTTAATCAATCACAATTGTTTATCTCCATCATTTACCGGATTAATAATACAGAAATTACAGCTCAATTACAAACAATTCATTATTTATCGTGATTTACAGTAATTTTATTAAATTATACGAATATTCTCGTTTGAAATAAATATGACTGTGTCCTCCAATGAGAATGCGAGTTACTAACTCTAAATTCTAATTCTGAGCTGGCAAATGAGCTAGATGCTTTACCTAGACCGTTATTCAGAAACTACAAACTTATGCTACAAACCTGCATAACATCAAGGTTGGCACAGTTTCAAGTTTATTATAGTAATTTTCTTAGCCGCGTATAGGACAGATCGTTACCCGAATGGGGTAGTTCTGGCAACACTGCCGCCATCACTTTACCTCTCGCTAGCTCGCGCGTCACGTCCGTCTCGCGGCCGCCATTCAAGGCCGTGTGTCGCGGCCTTAAATATTTACTCCCAAAGCGCGTAAAGAGGTTTCTCTTCATAATCTTTTGTTTAAAATCTAAATCCATTGAATTTGTTTGACATTGAATGATTATCCTTGATATTTCTATTCTTTTGGAACAGTTGAGAATAATTATTACATTTTAAGACGTTATATTAATAAATCTTTCTCTCAAACACAGCACTCTGCTGACGCAGACTCTGTTACCTTTAGTCTGAACAGTTTTTCGCCGAAAATAATTTATTTTGTTGACAGCGTATCAGCGCAGTAAATAACCTGTCAGAAAATTCGAAATATATTATAACGTTACTCAAATTTGTAAAATTTAATACGTACTAGCAGATATTATGCAGGTACACATACGATTTTGATTAATTTTCTGATGAGGAATATTCAAAATCAAAATGCGGAATGTGCATTTCTTTTCGGTCAAAAAATGTTGTAAAAATGTGAGAAAATCAGATTATTTTAGGGTAAAATACGTTTCTAGATTGAAATAAAAGAATTCTTAAATTCAGCACAGCATTAGCAGCGTCTCAAGAGCATTCTAGAAATTAAAAGAGAGAAAGATGTTTTCTACAATTATGACTTGAGCACAACAACAAAACTTGCAGTGCACCGAGCAATAATAGTCCCTACCATGTTATATGTGCCACCGCTCGCCGGGACTTGAACGCATTAAACATGTTGCAACAGAGACACCTTAGGCAACTGTTAAGAACCAGATAGTACCATGTCTCAAACGCATCCGCCCTTGAAAAATCCAGCTGCGAGAGCGCTGAAGTCATGATTACTAAATCCCACTTTAAAAAAACGCCTTGCGTAACCCTTTTCTGATGCGTGTCAAATACTCGTCAGTGAGTAATGGCAGTAAGTAACTAAGTGAGATATACCCTCATCGTAGTTTTCCTACAATATTCAATTTTCCTGTTGGATAGATTTGTCTGTTGTGATATATTTCCTCTAATTCTCGTCTGGATCGGTAATCATTAATGGTTACCATGATTTAAGAGCTTTAAACCGCCTAAAGATCCATCAACTAGTCCAATGGACAGACTATAAACTTAAGAAGGCCACAAATCTAATCAGTATAATAGCTTAAAGTTTGATTTCCTCTAAAATGTGGCATTGTGCCGTCAGAAATCAAATTACACTTTGTAACGTTTTTTATAAAACATTACCACTGCGAACGGCAGCTTTTCATCGGAGAGCAGTCGTGAATAAGGTATTTCACTTGAAAGAAAACTAATCAATAACAATAAACAAAAAAATATAGATATTGGGCGCCAGGCATGTACAGAGAAAGAAAACACAGTTGTATATTACTTAAAACTAATGACTATATTTATTCATTATGTTCTTTGATGGTAAATAACATTGTAGAATTCTAGCAACTATAGTGGTTATAATGTCGAAGAAAGTTTTGTTAAAAATAGTACTAAATATGTTCTATGAAAATGACTATGATAAAATCATTCATAGCTATAATGTTCTATATTAATTGGACATACTGAATGTAAACTAGGTATAGTTGCTGCAATCGATAATATATTTCGTTGCTTTTTCATATCACACAACATTTTCATCATAACAAAAAACCGTCAATACCGCTACTCATATTATGGGCACCTATGACTTAAATCTCATAATGATGTTTAAAAATACATAGGTATACATACTATGAGTAGTGGTTGTGGTGGTCGACATGGATGTTCTTAACGATCTAACCACTAAACATAGTCTGTACGATATTATTCAAGAGATGAAAAGGGGCCAGAATGAGGACACCATCAATCAATACAGCCGTAACTATTGACTAGACTTAGAAATGGGAAAGAAACAGCATGGGGCTCAAGCTACATCCACGCTGGGGCACTTTATATATAAGATAAATCATTCCTACTTGGAACACTCGTCCACAGGACATCCGTACATAGGGCATCCAACCATAGGACAATGTCGTAACTTGGACACCCGTCCATTAGATAACGGTACAGGGGAACACTACCCGTACCTTGGAACACTACTAGGATCTTAGATAATGCCCGTACCTTGGACCATAACCTTGGAATCAATACATATATATATATATATATATATATATATATATATATATATATATATATATATATATATATATATATATATATATATATATATATATATATATATATATATATATATATATATATATATATATATATATATATATATATATATATATATATATGGGACACCTGCCCATACCTTGCACATCTGTCCGTAAGACCCTAAAAATACGAAACTATTGTTTAAAACCAAACAAGGTCTAATAAACAAAATAAACCTACCTCGAATTACTTCCGAGGGCTCAATAATAAACAAAGAAACTGTCCTTTCTTCCATGTAACATCCTGGAGGACAAAAGCAAAAGAACACCAATGTGCCAGCAAAATACAAATACGAGTTAAGGTGGGTCAATCCAAAACTCTACCCTAAAAATATTCAATAATAATAACGAATCTAATAAAGATAATATCTCATCTTTACCTGTTGCTTCGAAATGGCAGCTGATTCAGATTTTGCAGCAAGATTTAAATTATTACCATTTCTAAAAGCCGGGTGAACAAAAGTGAAGTTAAAGCGCAGAGAGGCGCCTTAGAGCGATGTTGACAGCGCCTCCACAGAGCAGTGAAACAATAACAGGGTTGTGGATCAGAGAACGTAAAAATTACGCCAAGCGTGCCAAATAAATTATCAGGCCTGAACGATACGGAATCCGGTGACGATACGCCAGACATCATATATCATATACAGGGTCCGGCAATAGTGCGTCGGGCATCTATAGCTCCTAGAATAAAAAGCTTGGGAATTTTGTTTAAGTGCAAACCTAAAGTATGTACTAGGATGTATTTCAGGAAAATATTTTAACTTCTATAGGGTGGCTCAAAAAAGTGTGAATGGATCGGGATGATTTTTTTTAAATGGGACACCCTCTATATTGTTGCATTTTTGGCTTACTTTCAGATCACTTTACATAAACCTAAGACATGAGTAAATATGTTTCGATAATTTCAGAGATATTACTAAATAAATAAAAATTGTATATTTTTCAGCCTTTCTTAAAAAAATTATTAATAATACAAGAACTGTCCTGAAATCAAAACTGTATTAGATATTTACTCTAGATGGTCTGTACTTACTTTGCTATAAATATGGAAATCGTAAATCATACAGGATGTCCAAAATTCTACGCCAAACTTTCCAAAATATACAATAATTTTTCTTTGTTTTTTTTAAATGGGACACCCTGTATATTATTTTTTCAATAGATGGAGAATTAAAAAATGAACATTTTTTGTATTTATAGTATTTTAAAATGTTTAACGGTTTCGCAGATATTCCCGGTTTTGTATTTCATATGGCATTTTCTACAGTATATTTTTATCAAAGCCACCCAATGATTTTTCTCTCGTATTTTACCATTGAAAGCGCCATATGAAATAATGCTGCGTGTATCCGAAAAACTATTAAAAATTTTGAAATACTTTAAATACAAAAAATGTTCATTTTTCAATTCTTCATATAAAAAAATAATATACAGGGTGTTCCATTTAAAAAAACGAAGTAAAATTATTTTATATTTTTGAAAATTTGGCGTCAAATATTGAACATCCTGTATGATTTACGATTAGCATATTTATAGCAAAGTAAGAACAGACCATTTAAAGCAAATATCTAATATAGTTTTGATTTCAGAACAGTTCTTGTATTTTTAATATTTTTTTTTAAGATGGGTTGAAAAATATATATTTTTGATTTATTTTTTAATATCTCTGAAACTATAGAAATAAATTTACTCATATCTTAGGATTATGTAAAGTGATCTGAAAGGAAGCCAAAAATGCAATAATATACAGGGTGTTCCATTTAAAAAAAGTCATCTAGACCCACTCACCCTTTTTTGAGCCACCCTATAGAAGTTTAAATATTTTCCGGAAATACATCCTAGTACATACTTTAGGTTTGCACTTAAACAAAATTCCCAAGCTTTTTATTCTAGGAGCTATAGATGCCCGACGCACTATTGCCGGTCCCTGTATAAAAAAGACATGTAACGAACTAAACACGTTACAACTTCCTCAAAGTTTAATATTTACATAATATACAGGTGTTATTAAATGTCAAATGATTAAATTTTTAGAAATTGTGAGTGATGGTATCGTTGGAGGTCTACTAAAGCTACAGTCAAAATAAATATTATAAACAATTAATTGTGCATTTGATTCACGTATAATATACAGGTTATTCCATTTAAATTATTATTAATTATTTAATATAAACTTTTAGGCACTCTATATAAGGTAGTATTATTTTTATTACTGCAACAAAAAATTTAGTAACTAGA